CTATACAAAAAACTTCGAAAGACCAAATTTGATGCTGGCCCTTTTTTTTGGCAACGAACTTCAGCCAAGTTAAAGAAAATTAACTGCGACAAGTTTTTGTTTGTTCGTTATTATGCACGAACTAAATAATCTGTCCTGTGTCCTCCTTTGACTTACCGCTCAGCCACCTGGTGGCAATAAAAGAAAACACAAAATAGAACAAAGTGGTATCTTCCCGTTTGACATTTCACCAATAATTCAATCCGTATCATGTCCCTTCTGTTTTGTAATAGTGAATCTCGTGTTTTTATTTTATAGCATGTACATGTATATTCTCTGAATTACCTTTTTTTTTTTTAGGCAGAAACTATTTTGGGGCATTGGGGCATGATGTTGGCAATTAGCACAGCAGGTCAATGTCACATTACAGATTTAGATAGGCAGAACATAACTTCATTTACTTCTAAGTAAGAATCTGCTATTTTTTTGCACTTAAACATACGTTACCAAACCCAAGTGGCACACTTTGAAAATATTTAAGTCCAAATATTTTTTTTGTGTGTGCAAATGAAACATTATGCACACAGTTAGCTGCAATTCATTATTTAAATAGCACTATTTAAAGAAAACTGTTTTTGGAAATACTGAATTGACAGCAAGGTGAGCTGAGTGTCTCTCTCGCCATAACGCTTTCTATGTGCAAAACGTGCTTATGTTTGTATGTTTATTACTAAAAAAATTATTACAAAACAATGGCGCAATAATCATTAATTGTCAATTTCGTCATCAAATACTACACCAAATACAAAATATATAGCACCATTAAATTTCTTGTAAAAAAAACTGGTTATTGTGAAGTTATTTTAAAATTTGTAAGTTCAACCGTTTGGTTTCCTATAGCGAGCAAAATAAATAAATAAACAAACTTCCTCTTTTATATATATATATATATATAGATTAACAGAGAATAATAACGAAGGGATGGAGGGGGGAAAGATTCAGAACTGCGTTTATATCAGGGATCATTATTTTTTCTATTTACTTAACTACAAGAGACAAAGTAACTGAAAGCATTCTGTACTTTCAAACATAAGATATGTATCTCGCATCCTGTCGTTAATATTGGATCTCTGACGTCACATATTTGTTATTTGATAAGATTGTATCTACGTCAAGGAAACTACAGGTCACTAAATAACGTGCAAGTAACGTGATATTTCCCAGTAAACGTCTATAAATACAATTACTCTGTTTCCTATCTCAGTTAATTAAATATAACAAAACCATCATCATAATGAATCTTCACGTGGTGATAAAAAAAAGAGGCTCGATTAAAGTATTATTAGTATTTAAAGGCAGGAGGTACCAGAATCACTTCAAGCTAAAGCGAAACTCTTTCTTACACCTGAATAGAATCATCCACGAATTTTTCTGTCCAAAACACACGCCCGGCATGGCCAGGTGGTTAAGGCACTCGACTCGCAATCTGAGGGTCGCGGGTTCGAATCCCTGTCACACCAAACATGCTCGCCCTTTCAGCCGTGGGGGCGTTATAATGTGACGGTCAATCCCACTGTTCGTTGGTAAAGAGTTGGTGGTTGGTGGTGATGACTAGCTGGCTGCCTTCCCTCTAGTCTTACACTGCTAAATTAGGGATGGCTAGCGCATCGTGTAGCTTTGCGCGAAATTCAAAAACAAACCAAAACACATAAAATCTACATAATTAGCTTTCTTATTGCTATTTCATCTTCTTGTTTCCCCCACGGAAGTTTAGGCTAAAATCAGGGAGTTTGATTTTCCGTAGAGGAAAGACTACAGAGAGCCCGTTGTGTAGTTTTGTGTTCAAGCAAACATTTCTAACACTGATATTCACGATATAACAAGTATCATATATCTACATATGTATATATATTTACACCTTTAAGAAAGTTGCATAGGAAAAAGTAGTTTGTCATCTCTTCTTAACACAAAAAAAATAAACTGTCTACAGCTAGCACAACAACCACGTGGTGGTGCACTTTTGATATGTCAATTATAGATAGATTTCAGGCACACGAGGGCTATCTGCGCTAGCCGTCCCTAATTTTGCAGTGTAAGACTAAAGGGAAGGCAGCTAGTCATCACCACCCATCGCCAACTCTTGGGCTACTCTTTTACCAACGCATAGTGGGATTAACCGTCACATTATAACGCTCCCACAGCTGAAAGGGCGAGCTTGTTTGGTGGAACAGGTATTCGAACCGCGACCCTCAGATTGCGAGTCGAGCGCCCTGACCACCTGGCCATGCCGGGCCTTTTAGCATTGTAAATGTTGAATCTTATTGCTGACCCATTGGAGGACTCATGTTTGATAGATAAGTATGTGGACCTCGTGTAAACGGTTTGTTAGTTGTTAAGCACAATGCCACATAAGGGGCTATCTGTGATGTGCCCACCATAAGTCTTCTTACTTACCGCTGACCCATTGGAGGACTCATGTTTGATAGATAAGTATGTGGACCTCGTGTAAACGGTTTGTTTGTTGTTAAGCACAATGCCACATAAGGGGCTATCTGTGATGTGCCCACCATAAATCTTCTGACTTACCGCTGACCCATTGGAGGACTCATGTTTGATAGATAAGTATGTGGACCTCGTGTAAACGGTTTGTTTGTTGTTAAGCACAATGCCACATAAGGGGCTATCTGTGATGTGCCCACCATAAATCTTCTGACTTACCGCTGACCCATTGGAGGACTCATGTTTGATAGATAAGTATGTGGACCTCGTGTAAACGGTTTGTTTGTTGTTAAGCACAATGCCACATAAGGGGCTATCTGTGATGTGCCC